CTCCGAAACGTCTGTTTACACAATATCTTCACGGGCCACATCCCAGAAGACCGCATTCTTCGTAAAAGAAATCAGTTATACCTGAGGTTGCTGACCACGCTGTAGTATAATCCATTATTAGATCACTTGTTCTCTTTCGGGCCAACTCACTTCAGAACTCTCGTGACACTTTTCTCGGGTGAGAAGATGTTAAACTTTTAAATTAATTTCTTTTGTTCTCCCTTCGTAGTGCGAAGGCCAGACCTACAGATGTCTGCTTTCCTCGTCATGATCGCTCCTCCCTGTCTGCACTAATGACTGCAATTTTCCTCCACTCTGCTGACAAGCGATGTGAATTGTCTGTACTACCAGGGCGACAACACGCACTATGCACTATTTTCCAGTCTCTTTCGTTTTCCACAGCATTACTGCCGCCATGGAGTCTGGTAGACGTTTGCCTGCGTTTCTTACGAACTTGTTTTCCTTTTCAGCCCACACTGCTCTCTTGCTCGAGGATGATGATGGAGCTAGTAGGTTCATCTGAAACGTCGGTAAACTTCTACAACATTATAAGATAGCAATATTGATATTAACAAAATTTCCCGGCCCTGAAACTGGAAATTTCTTGGGTAACTAAGCTGAAAAAAGATGATGGAAAAATTAGGCCATCTATTTCGAAAGATACATGATTAAGAATGAAGTAGTCGTCGTGTATTTCGCCCTGCATTGTTCATGAAGGACTTGCGGATAACTACATGACATAGGGAAGGATCACTGCAGACTCGATGACAGGGCCTTCGCTTAGGAGCTCAGTCATATCAAAGGGGGTAGAAGAAGGAGATAAACGGCGTCTTCGGGAGGAACAGAAGGAAGAAGTCAAAGTTGCATAACCGTGGCTGAGTGCTTTGGACGTATATATAATTAACTTCATATATTATTAATTGCTTGCTAATTATGTGACTGAATAGGTATATAATATCCTGTCACTCTTTTGAAATTGATGTAGCAATAGGTGAGATATCAAATTTGGAACCTATCCCCTACGAACCGTTCTAATCAACAGTTAACGACTTCAGAGGCTCCCCAAGTTACGTAACCAAGTTATGTATGTCATCAAAGGAAATTCAACGCTCAATAAATTGTCAGGAGTAAGAGGTACAGCCTGTTTTACATTGCATAAGAAGATTTTGGAGCTGGTTACATTTTCTAGTAACAACGATACTTGTTTGGATACTTAGCATTCCTTACTATCATATTAACGTTAGTATTAAATATTGTATTGTGTCACGTGCTTATGTATTATAAACATGCAAATTCAACTAGGATAGCTAAGTGAGTATAGTGATTAGACTACAGGCAAGAAGATAGGGGACTTGGGGTTCAATTCCCAGAAGGGGCCAGAGACTCTTTTCCCTTACAATATCCCTACCAGCTCTGGGACTATCTAGCCTCCTACCCAATTAGTACCGAGAGTTGTTTCCCCGACATTAAAATCTCCGGGCGTGAAATTGACCACTCACGTTCATTCAGAGCCAAAGTTAAGAATCTGTGGAGCTATGACTCAACTCCCCGTGTTTCTCTATGGCGTGGTGTTTAATTAAGCACAGGGTCAACTTGACCTTCCACGTATACAAAGACACAAAGAACACACTCACAGGGGTTGGACCAAATAATGGAAACACTAAGGATACTGTACACATTTCTTTAGCAATATGGTGTTGGACAAAATTTTATCTTAAACTACGCCCCAGTACAGAACTGTAAGGTTTCTTATTTTGGACTCTACCCATCGTCTGGTATGTATAAGAAAAAAAAACAACGTTTCGGAGATTTGATCTGTCTCCGTCCTCAGGTGAGTTTTAGCTTGTCTTTTATTGTGATTTTATTCTTATCTCCCGCTGATGGAACCTGTTGTCAAGTGTTTATAGGCTGTTCTCTACTGACCGGGGTTTGTCCAATGATTGAGACTAGCTCTTTTTTTATAAAGGGGCCAACTGAGTAGGCATATATTCTCCCATCCACCTGAGGACGGAGACACATCCAGTCTCCGAAACGTTGTGGCGTTTTGTCTTATATATACCAGACGATGGACAGAGCCCAAAATAAGAAGCCTTACCGTTCTGTACAGCATACACCAACGTCACAATCCTTCCAAGTCTATCTACGCCGCAGTCCTCCTTGGAATGGACTCGTACAAGTTTTGAACAGTCTCTAGTGGAATATTAAACCATTCTTCTTGAAGAACATCTTCAAATCGCTTTAGAGGTATCGAAGGTGGGAATCTGTTCCTCACTCCAGTCTCCTAAACTGAGCACAGTGGTTCAGTGATGTTCAAAATTAGTGACTGTGCTCGCCAGGGAACATTAAGTTGACCCTCGTGCTCTTCAAACCGTGAATGAACAGTTCCAGCTGTGTGAATGGTGGTATTGCCGTGTTCTTTTCGGTAATAACGTCTGGATTATGTGATGCACCTGATTACCAGACCTGTCCACGTCCTCCCTTGCAGTAATTCTGCCATGAACGGTAACAATGGAACCAAGCGTATATATACTACGACATTGCTGCCGAAACCATCACAGAACCTCCCCCATATTTCACTGATTGAACCAGGCATTCCGGACTGTAGGCTTCCTTGGCTGTTCTCCAAACGTAAACTCTTCTTGATGTAGGGAACAGCGTGACCATATCACGGGAGCGTTTTCAGTTGTCTGATATCCAGGTTTGGTGACCGTGACACGACGGTTTCACATCCGAGCATCACTTTCAGTAATCAGCATTCAAGTATTTGTAGCCCTACCGTGGATGTTGCATTTCTGAAGCTGACATGGGAGAGTTTTTGTGTAAACAGGGTCTTTAGGATTAACATTCAGCTCTGCTGTAGTTGTGTGATTTCTCGAAACAATCCTTCTTAATGTACGACGATTCTTACTGTCAATGTTGATTTTCGCCCACTGTTATCCTTTGCTGATGTCTTCCCATGCTGTATGCCCACAAAACCTTAGGAACTCTCGCTCTCCATACACATGATTATGTGAGAGCTTCTGGCACAGATGCTCCAGCTAAATGCGCTGATGTCTTCCCATGCTGTATGCCCACATAACCTCAGGAACTCTCGCTCTCCATACACATGATTATATGAGAGCTTCTGGCACAGATGCTCCAGCTAAATGCGCTGATGTCTTCCCATGCTGTATGCCCACATAACCTCAGGAACTCTCGCTCTCCATACACATGATTATATGAGAGCTTCTGGCACAGATGCTCCAGCTAAATGCGCTGATGTCTTCCCATGCTGTATGCCCACAAAACCTTAGGAACTCTCGCTCTCCATACACATGATTATGTGAGAGCTTCTGGCACAGACGCTACAGCTAAATGCGCACGAACGGTATTACCTCTTTCAAAATAGGAAAAAAAGATCCCCAAATTCCTGTTCTTTCACACGGATTGTCACAACACAATCACTAATGCACTTACACGAGCACTACATAGTGTGAGCTAATTAAAGATCATTCAGTGTTGCCAACTAAATTTCTTTCAATATAGCCAACACAAATTCTATTCCTAAATTCTTAGTTTTTCCAATACTTTGTCCACCTCCTGTATATATATATATATATATATAGNAAACTGATTATTAGGTTGGAATATTTGTGAACTGTGAATCAGTTTACGAAGCATGTGGGTTTATGGGACTGTGTTGATGTGGGTGTACAGACACCGTTCTAATTGGGACATTTGCCGGAACCAAATTTGTATTCTTGAGTATTTTTCCAACGAAATCGCGATTTAGTGTATACAACTGCCGCTCAGTTGGGAGCCCTTGAAAGAAACTGTATATAGAAATTGGTATGGTTAATTTCGAAGCCTTGGTACAAAACTGAACGACGAAGTTCTGTCCAGTGTACATACAATAACCGAGAAAATGTTCGCCCTTTTCTTGCATGTGACAGACTAACATGTGGCTATGTACTAATATACGGGAATGTTACAAAATACAAGCGGAGAAAAATATATAGAGGAAAAAGGGAGTGGTTTATTTAGTGTGGAAATAGTAGCTATTGTAAATATTTATAAATAATCTGCCTGTATTTATATTGTCTGAGAACGTTACAGCTGGTCAAGCCTTTGTTTGAAGAAAGTTTGTCTCTGTTACAACAACCACTGCAATTCTCTGTTGTCAGATGAAGAAAAGGGAAGTTGGGTGTTTTGAAAGAGTTTGGCCTTTACAAATAATCTTTACCGCAAATGTGTCATGTAGATACACGTATGACAGAAGACCGATCACAGTGGCCGAGAGGTCTAAGGCATGAAACGTCTTCGTTCTTCGAACCCTGGGATCGTGGGTTCGAATCCCACTCTAGGAATGGATGTCTGTGTGCATTTAATCTGTTTGTTTTGCTCTGTGCGTAAGTAGCGGCATTGCGACTGGCTGATCCCCCGTCCGAGGAGTCCTACTCACTTTGTATGAATTAATAAACCGAAAAAGTGACCAAGGTCCACAAGGGCTGTAGAGCCATGAATGGATGGGTGGAGGGGACGGAAGGACAGACAGACAAAATATTAGCAGTAAAGTTCTTGAAGTCACGTACTCTCAGCACCATGTCCTGCTAGCCAAAGCTGCGAGAAACCAGGGGACCTAACTGTTGTGTTCAATATTAGTATTTTTTTAATGCTACTGGGGTGGGACTAAGTCCCTTGCACTGCGGCCACTTCTGACCTATTGTACCAGGCCCAGATGATAGCTGAGGGTGACTGTGGAGCAAATGGTGGAATGAAGATTGGCAGGGGAAACCGAAGTACTCGGAGAAAACCTGCCCCAGCGCCACTTTGTCCACCACAAATCCCACTTGAACAGACCCGTGATCGAACAAGGGCCGCCGCGGTGAGAAGCCAGCAACTAACCGTTTGAGCTATGGCGCGGCCCTTCAATATTAGTAACTAAATAACCTGGTGGTTGGAAGATGAAGTGTTTAACTAATTAACTGACTAAGAGTGTGATTAACTATACGGCTACTTACCAAACAGCATGGTCTCTTCAGACAGCACAATTCCTCAGCAACTGCTAGTTGCACAGATACACCGTCTGTTCCGTGCTGACCTGAAGAAACCCGGGAATAGATCACTGAATTTGTAAAAGTAACATAATCAGCTAGTTCAGTCTGCCGAGAGCTGGACTCACCTCCCAACAATCCACTTCAGTTTGTATTCATTTACCTGTTTTCTAAGTGATTCCTTTCAATTGAATTTTCCCAACGAATTTTGTTTTCAGAATACAAAGTGTGACCCTTCCGTTATATATGAATATGCATTTTTGTAGCAGCAGACAGTTAAAATGACAGCCTCATATTGAACTGCAGATGAGCTCTCAAACGTCATGCATTTTACAGAAGGGCGGACTGTTGGAAATCGTCATTTTGTCTGTGAAACGTATCTAGCTTATGTTATTTATTCAAAGCCATCAATAGCAATGTAGGATAGCTCAAGCGGTTAGTTGCTGGCTTCCCACCGCGGCGGCCCAGGTTTGATTCCGGGTCTAGTCAAGTTGGATTTGTGGTGGACAACGTGACGCTGGGGCGGGTTTTCTCCGAGTACTTCGGTTTCCCTTGACAATCTTCATTCCACCAAATTCTCCATCATCATAATCACCCGGGGCAGACTACAATAGGCCAATCAGTGGCCGCCGTGCCGAATGGACCCTGTTGGACTCCACCCCCCACTAAGCGAATTAGAAAAAAAATTAGCAATGTACGTGCGTAGGTGGGCATGCAAGAGAACTTGATTGACATAAGATGGGGCGGGTATTGGATTCTGTGACTGCTGCTTCCTATCATCAGGCAATGGACAACATTATCAGATCATCTCTCTGCCTGCCTGCTATTGACCGTTACTGACAAGAAACCCACACTGATTGCTTTCTGGGTATCTGCTTCGTACACTCGATGCAACAAATATGAACCTGTCTCCATTCTTTCAACTCGTGAGGGGGTTCCGTTCCTTTCTTTCGTCTTACTTTTCTGCCTGTCTGTTTATTGTCTTCATTATTAATTAACCTCACGGAGCTGAGCCCTCCTATAAAAGTCGCAAACTGTGAAGCTACTCAAGAGTTTCCTAGCATTTTATGGAACCCGAATGTTCATTACCGTATTCACAAGAGCCCTCCTCTGGTACCTATCCGGAGCAAGATGGATCCAGTCCACACTACCCCATCCTCTCTGACATTCATTTTAATATTGTTCTCCCACCTACGGGGGCACGTGTTAGCGTAAGTGGTTGAGGCATTATACTACAAACCGGAGGGTGGCAGGTTCGATTCCCGAGGAAGTCACTAGCTTTTTCCCATTTGATCTAATCCTTCCGGCTGCACTATTGCCCTGCGGTCGACTCAGCCTCTAACAGAAATGAGTATCAAGAATCTTCCTTGGGGGAGGGGATAAATAGCAGGGGGCGGTGAATTTGTCAGCCTTACGCGCCGACCGCCCTTTACCCACCAGGAAGATTCCTGGCACTCATTTATGTTAGAGGCTGAGTGGACACCAGGGTCATAAGGCGGCTGGAAGGATTAGATCAACTGAAAATTCCAATGCCCTCATCAGGAACCTAACCTGCGACCTTCCGGTTTGTATAGTGTATCTCAATCAACTATGCTACCGGTACCACTTTGTTTACCGTGCCGTTGCTTATCAAAGGAGATACATGTCACAATATTGTATGACGAATCTGAGAGGAATAAAAATTCGTATGGTACTGTGAATAATTAGATGGAAAAGAGTAAACAAAATTAAAAATCTGTATTTTTATAGAATTCACTTATGGAGATATTCAGAAAGAAACAAATTCTATCTCACAATATCCCAACTTCTTACAATATCTCAACCGTTCTCACAGCAGAAGCATCCTCTTCGCCGTTCCACTTAAATATATTGCTTGATAGCGAAGTACAGGGGTTCCTGAGCTCACCCTTCCTGTTGTTAGACTACGTGTACTAGCTCGCTATTCTCAGAGACAGGTCCTCTTATATCTAATTTGGTCTCCCAGGACATTTCTTCCTGCAGGAACTGTCTCTCCTGCTATTCTAGCAATCCGATCTTCTGTCACATCTCCTACCTATTCCATTCGTGTCGGATAACGCTTGTTTTTGATCTTTTGACCTCCTGGATGGTGCGCCAACCTTGCCTTGTCTTTAAGGCAGGCATTTCAATGTTTCCTTAATTCAGAATTTTCCTTAAGTTTTACATGTTAATATCAATAAGATTTTTACAACCTCACGTGCAACACCAACACTCTATAAAATTTATTAAAAGATACTCACTTTAAAAGTTTTTCACTACATGTTTCGACAAATGTTGTCATCATCAGGTGTTAAATTCATTTGGCGGGGAATCTGTTGTCTTCTGTTTCGTTGCTTACGCTGTTACGTCCCCTCTACGTGCATGTGTGTTTGAGTTGGTGGGTTGTATTTCCCCCTGTTGTGTGTCGTGCTTCGTGCCTTCTTTTCACATTTGAGGGAACTTATATATATTAACAAACTAATCAACGAAAGAGAAGAGAGCAGTTTCCTCATCCAATAATTTTAACACATGATTATTTTAGTCGAAACATGTAGTGTACAAATTTTAAAGCGTGTGTACCCCGAGAAAATTTTAATTTTTAAAAATTTGGAAAAAGAAAAAAAACAGAAAATTTATAGACATTTTAATTTGAATTGAAGTTTTAAGAAAGTGCCAATTTTAGAAATCAAACTGACGCGTGTAGGTTAACAAAGATTTTATACATACATACAACTGGAAAGACTGGTGATTTTAAATTTTAAACTACGGGCAGTGTAGCAGCTACGTAAGAATACACACCTGATGATGGCCATTTAGGGCCGAAACATGTAGTGTGGAGGAAGGGAAGAAGAAAGAACTACAATTAAATTGTTGCGCTTAAGACGGAGTTTGTCTCGTATAGAAAGATTTAACTGAAACAAAATACTATATGATTCTAAATTATTGTAGGGGTTTCCCTGGTCAATAATTTTCAAACCAGATGTAATAAAATAAAACTGCTTAAGGAATATGAAAGCGTAACTCAAGGCATTGTACTTGGCAGCACTGTACTCACAGCATTAATGTCTTAGAGAAAATATGTCGTCATACTTCAAGTTAGCGATTTTCCAAGAGAATGTAATGTGCGTACTTCGGTTTTTCGAAAAAAAGTGCGCTATCAAAAAGCAACATCTTTACAGAACTCAATATGAAAAGATCCACCTTCAGGCAATGCTATCCGACGCCGGATAAAGCAGTTTAACGAGACCGGTAGTGTTCTGCACCGAAAAGGAGAGGAAAGACCGAACGCTTAGAGAACACTAGGAGGGAAATTGTATACCGCTCGGACATCTGACGTGTCTCGAAAAGCGCGCATGTTGAAGTTGTTTAATTTTCTGCAGCACTGTTTTTAAAAGAAATACAACTGTATGAGTTACATTTTCATATTCCGTAAGGTGTTTTTATTATGTTGCTTTTGGTTTGAACATTATAGGCCACGGAAACCCGGTCGATATCTAGAATCACGCTTTACGTATTTTACCCATCGACTACCAAGGCCGGTCAGAGATCTATCTACCTGCTAGAAACGACGAAACTTCTTAGGAGTAAATGCAGTTTGACAAATACCTCCATAAACATTTCTTAAAAGATTATCAGACGTCATCAGGAATATTTCATATGAGAGCCTGCTGCCCCCGTTCAGCATAAATATGCACATCTCTTATTCCATCTTGACAGAAATGTTGTACTATTTGATGGTCAATATCAAACCAACTTCGTCTGTGAGGGTGTTGACGTGAAGTACGAGTCAATGTGGTAGGCAAGTAACAAAGTAGGGGAAGAAAAATAAAGGTGTTGTGGTGGTGCTGCTATCCTTTGATACGACACGAACCGCACAGAAAGCGACGAGCCGAACAATCCTTCTATTACTGGGTGTGTATTTGTTGCAGCGGAAATATTTTACTGAACCTTTGCCTATCAACGTTAGGGGAATACACATACAGAAACACACACACACACACAGAAAGGTGATTTCATAAGCCTCTTATTAATTAAAAACAGGGAAGTAGGCTGAAAGTAGGCATATGATATCACCTTGCAGTCTGTGTGTCTGGGAGTACCTAATCGCCTACTTTCCTTTTAATACGTAATGAGGACACTGACCACACAGAAAACACCGCGTCCAGCATCTCTGTTTCTGCGTGCGTATTCGTTGCAGCGAGAACGTATTTACCGAGACTTTCCCTAGCAACGATAGTGGGGATTCACAGACATGCAGACAGCAGGGTGATCTCATAAGCCTACTTGATTTCTTTTCTAAATAAGGAAACTATGCTAAAAATCGTAATAATATGACGTATTTGATTAATGCGTTGCCAGGCAACAGCTCTGTAAACACGACACGCACCCGCAACAGTAGAGCAAGCTGTACTTTCCGTGTGTCCGGAAGTTGGCGTAGGATCGGTGACGTCACACATCAACAGTAGGTGGCCGTCACGTGACGTGTTTCCTGCGTCTCCCTCAGCTGCGATTATGCAGTGATGTCACACAGCAACAGTGGGTAAGGGTCAAGTGATATATGTTTACTGCTGGTCGATGTCCGTTCCTAGGCTATATATGTGAGCAGAATTCCTGAGCTGGCAGAGAGAAATGGTAGCGGCGGAGGCACGCAAACAAAGCGAATTGGAACCAGGAGTACAGAAGTATATAGGAGGTGGGCCTATGAAGATTTAAAGTGTGATTTCAAGACTTTATGTGTGCTATGGTGCAGAGGGTTTGGGAGTGAGTAATTTAGTTCCCGTGTTATAAATCCGTTGCCACGCTTAGATTACGAATAGTAAAAATTAGTAGAAATAGACTGAGAAGATTAGTGTGGAGTGATTTTAAAGTGTGTAAATCAGCATAGCGCTGTTTTTAAGTGTGATTAAGAGAGAATGTTAACTAGTGCCAATAAATCCAATCATCCGAACTAGAAACCGTCATTCTCGTTCTATGTACCCCCTACATGCGACAAAAACAATAAAATATATTATATAATACACATATACGTATAAAAAAAATAAAGATATATC